AAACTAACATGCAAGACACAGAACATGTAAAAAAAAAAAACCTCTTCTCCAATAAATTGGTCTTTTTCAACTTCATGGTTATGAATTTGTGTGGGAGATAGAAAATATTAGTAATATCATGATAATTATTTATTTTCAAAATAATGACATTTTTGACATGTTTACTAATATTATTAAAGTATGGATATTATCACTAAATAAGTTGGTTTTTTTGACTAGTTAGCTAAATTTTCCTTGAAATAAATAAAAAAAGATAAAAACATATAAGTTGAAAATAATAATTTCATGTTATCACTATTTAATTAGTAGAAAAAAGAAATAACAAAGTCACTTTTAAAATTATATCAGTATTAATTTGTGTTTGCTATAGACACTTATTTCTACTTTAGCTTTAGAAATTATATAAGTATTAATTTGTGTTTGCTATAAACACTTATTTCTATTTAGCTTTTAAGTAATTGCGTGTGTATAAGAATTTAAAGGGTATGAAACTTAATCAAAATTTAATATATAAGTATATTAGAAAATTAAATTTGTAATCTATTGATTTATCATCGTATAAATACAGAATAATTTACTTAAACATAAAAATTGTAAATTGTAATTTTATCCCACATCACTTCAAGTGCATATTATTAATTTCACAAAAATCTTTAATCAACTCTTTTTTTTTTATTCGTCACTCATTATTTTTGTTAAAAAGCTAATTGCAAGTGAAATGTGTATAAGATGCCTTAGTTGTTGATTTAGAAAAAGATAATACTTCATCTATTCCATATTAAATGATAACTTTTTTTCTAGCATATGATTAAACAAAAACTATATTTATATATTAAAAAAATCATTATCTTTCTTTTGCATGTTACACTTTCTACTGGCTGACCTAGGGCATAAAACATACCATTTGAAAAAGAAAGATGAGATTTAGGGGAATAGAATACAGAAACAAATTTACGATATCATATATTTATATTAAATTATATACTTGTCGTAATAAATTAAATTTGATTTCGTATATATATTGAGTGCGAGTAAATATTAGACCAGTCTTGCGTGTATATTGCATGTTTTCATGTCTATATCAGTTGAATATATATAGAAGACGACATTATGACTTAAAAAAAGTCATACAAATATGGCTTCCTTAAACTTAACGTGCTTTGCTTTGTGGAAAAGTTTGAATTGTTTTACTTGAAAAAGACACAGAGAAGACTCTTGTAGGAAACTACAAAGTCTTTATGGAGTTGTAATTTGTCTTGAATCTAATCATCAATATACACACCATGCTAGTTGAATTTTGTGAATCATATAAAATTTTAATTTTTTTTTTGTTTTGACTAAAATGCATGTCTAAACACAATATCACATTTCAAAAATTATAAATTCATAAAAAGAGAAATTCAATTTTTTATGTTTCAATTTCAAAATCTATAGACAAGCAATAGCTTTAACTTCATTAATGTATAGCTAAATTCAATCACTTTTACCTAAAATTCAAACATAAATAATTAAACTTTAACCATATGAAGTTTGAAACGTTATAAATAATGATATACCCCATAAAAATTACGACAACTTCTCTTCTTTCTTTTCCGTCATTAGTGGAAAGGTTAACAATGAGATATGACATAGATAAGTCAGAATTTTATTATTATTATTATTATTCATGTATCAATTCAATTTACTTTTACTTTAGAAAAATATTTTTTTTTTCAATATAAATATTCGACCTCGATCACATCAGATACAATAAAATGGGCAAGATAGAACCACCCAAAACACTAATCTTGTCAAGCCTCTTGGGTTCTAGAATGATTACACATATCCATATATTGATCTGATGACTGATCCAATTGATATTTCCTTGTTTTGAATCTCTTTTAGTAACTTTTTGTTGAAGGTGGCTCAATAGGGCACATAATTATTGTCTGTTGGTGTCTATATGAATGGGTCATATGCATCATGTATTATATTTTAAATGATTTAAAGTAAATTTAAGATTTAAAGTTAAAGTATTTAAATAATTAGTCCACTAGTAACTTTTTATGATAGAAATTGATCCCCCACAATTTTAACTTCAAGTACTTTGACCCATGCATGTTTAACTTAATCTAAATACTTTACCGCAAACGTTATCTGCTTCAATCTATATTTTTACTTGTCTCGTAATTACTTTTGATGGTTTCAATCTATTTCTATATTGTCTCATAATTACTTTGACTGCTTCAATATTTAAGCGTTCATTAGAATTTTTAGAATCCACTTTATCCGGAATTCTAGTTTGCGTTGGAAAAATAATTTTTTTTCTAATAAGATATTTTAAATATCTCATTATTAATTATTCGTAAAGAGATTAAGAAATCAAATATCATCTTTCTGAAGTGATCATTTTGGAATGTCACAAGTCATTAACATTAAGGACATTCTCAAAACGACCAAGATATTAAATATTGTTTTTCTTAAAAACTATTAGTGAATATTCATAAAAATTAAATATATCGAAAGAAATTTAGTCCAAATCTTCATACAATAACAATCCTCAAAATACTAACAAATTTTAAAATAAAAAAAAATGAATAAACAAGCTTATAATAATCACAAATAATCATCACTAAAATATATATTTTAATTGTAATTGTATTCAACTTTCATCACTTTAAAATTTATCAAAAATATCATATCAAACGAAATAATATCTGGTCAAAGAAGTGCTTAAACAAAAGTAAGAAAAAATAATGATTGCATTATTGGTTTAGTGTATATATAATATATATCCTCATGTTTTTCTTATGACAATTATTTGATTAAATAAAATCCACTCCACAATAATATAATAGAAACTTTAATTTTCTAAAATAAAGGAATATACAGTTAATATGAAGTGGATTTGCCAAAAGAAGGGACACATCTAAAAGTGACAATTTCCTTAATTTCTGATCATATTATATCATACTGATAAAAAAATTTAAAATTAAAAATATCAATTGATCAGTCAACTAAGAAACCGACTATACTTATTTTGATAAATTATTATATTACCCGTCTATTATCATTATTATAGGTCCCTATAATTTGCTGCGCCATAGTAAAAAGTCACAGTCTCAATTCTATTATAATAAATTCCACTTTCACAATCTTTTGCGATAAGTTAAATGAGTGTTTCACTCGTTGTTTGTCAAGCACGTTAAGGTAGAGTGTATCAAAAACGCTTTAAAATATAAATTAGAGATGTATATTTATAAGGCGTAGATTTTAAAATATGAAGTAAAAGTCTCAAGCATAAAAATGTAAATTTTTTATGTAAAAATATATAATCATACATTTTTAATTTTTAAATATTTTTTTTACTATAAATCATATTTTTATTATTAGTGTAATGATGTTTTTCAAATATCAATTATAATATTGTTTTTCTGCATTATTAATTATTAATATTTATCCAAAATAAAAATTAAAAATCATTAAAAGATTTAGTTTTGCTTATTGTATTAATAATAAAACTGTAAAACTAAATATACGTGAGAGATGAGACTACGTTTCCTGTCTCTGGGCTTACGCCTCGTCCTGTACGGTATAAAACGTTTCGCCTCACGCCCCGATTTTAAAAAATATTGGTTCCACTTTCACACTTAATTTGAAATTTTGAACTTGTACCTTGAGAATGAAAAAAATCCTAGTGAGAACGTCATCTTCTGCATAAGCTTTGTGGTGAGTAATTCGAATTTAATCAGGACATTAATATAGAGTAGTGGACTTTAGAAAATAAAATCGAAAACATGCTATAATATATTATATTGTTAAAAAAAATTATATTATCCATTTATATAAAATTAAAATTAAATCCAATTGTAATAAGTGGAAAACTTAAGTGGAAGGCGGCTATATATATAGTTGCTTTCGGATCAATTTGGTCACCAACCAATAGACCCTACTAAATCCTATTTCTTCGTATTTATCTTCTTTTTCCAACTTTTTAATTTATTCAATTATTTTTTTTCTTTCATATATTCTCAATTTCAAAATACGTGGTGCTTTTATTAATAAAATTACTATTGTTTTTGATACACACGTTTGACATCATCAAAAATTACTTTTAACTTATTTTTAGAATTGAGTAATTTTCTTACTAAATATATCTATTATTCAAGTCAAAAATACAACTTATTTTAAAATGGAAATGTTAAATTTTTTTTATTTGTGGAATTTCTATCACTCCTTAGCCGCCCTGACTTTGTGGTTGTGCTATAATATTGAAAATTCAACATCTATTTGTTAGTAGCTACGTGTCACACATATATAGCTTGAAAAATGAAATATTTAAATAAAATGGTAACATTGAATAATATTGATGTCGTTTCGAAGGGGACATCCAATAAAAAAATATTTAAATATATTTAGTAAATAAAAATATTTTTAAAAAATTTAACATCAACGTATGAATTTGAAGGAGTTAGAATTGATTGTAATGAGTAATATCATTAATTTCTTCTATTTACATTAAATAAAAGACAGCAAATTCTTAATTTTAAAGAGTGTATCTTATGGTCAACTTTTTTCCACATACATTGACAAAGTAGCAAGTTTTTAAAATTCTTTAGTTACTAGAAAGATTAAATATTACTATTGTAAAAATAATAATAATGATTATGTTTTAGATCTCAAACAAAATAAATTCAATTTTTAAATTTTCAAAAATCTTTCTCGTCTTTTTAGATTAGCACATTGCTCTCACAATATATTATTTAATATAGTAGCTTTGTTAGCTATTTATAATTTTATATAGAGCTAAAAACAATTTATTTTTGGTTCAAATTTTTTACACGTTCAAAAGAAAATAAGTGCACATAATTATAACATTAAAGCTCAAGAAGCATCATGTTAAACAATCTAAAGAGGTATAATATCATTTTTTTTTCTTTACAAATAAAATTTATATTTTCAATAGAATTTTGACTTTATATTTCCAACGTAAAAATAATAAATTATTTTTTTCAGAATCACAAAAACACACCTCAATCATAAAATACACACATCCCCCTTCACTCTCCTTATCTTCATCGTTAATTAATTCAATTTCACCATACAAAATTTTTCATATTACAATATTCACCCACAATTAACAGAAAAATAAAAACAAAAATCTCTCACAAAGTCTTCGTATGAATAGAGACTGCTAATCACTATATATATATTCCCGCCAAAAATGCCACGTCACTAGTCAACTAACCAGTGAACCCATTTGCAAAAATGGACGAAATAGCCCCTCGTACACTATCGAGCTTCAAGGGCAAAATCGTCAAAGTCAAATTCGCCGAATTCATCGCCGTAGTATTTCTCCGTCATAGCAAAATCCGGCAGCCGGAAAAGTGAATCAACGTCGAAACCAAAAGCATCCACTTCGCAGAACCCTAGATTGTCAAACGGCGCAAAATCATTGTCACAGAGAACTGAGGTGGGTGACAAAGCGACATCGTTTTCGCTTTTATCTCCACCGTCGGCAACAGACTCGGTTTCGGTTTCCGTAACCGTCACCGTTACCTCCGCCGTTGTTGATACCGGAAAATTGGTAACGGCGTCAGGACCTTTGAGCTTAACTGCAGCTTTATCGTAAACGACAGCTGCTTCTTCTGGGGTGTCATAAGTACCCAACCACACCCGTTTTCCCCGGGTCGGGTCCCGAATCTCTGCAGCCCAACGACCCCACGGTCTTTGACGAACGCCTCTAAACTTTTTCCGACGAGTGACGTCAGAATCCGGAGACACCGATCTTCGTTTTCTGTCGCCGATCGATTTGGTTGACGGCATAAGGTTGATCTCCGTCACGTGCCTCTTCACTCTCCGTACAGTATTCCGGCCTTCATCATCGGAAGAATCTGTAGCATCGGCATCTGTAAGTATAATCCTCACAACTCTTTGTAACTCTGAATTGGATTTTTCGTTATGCTCAGAAAAAACATGCTTGTTTGTAGTTACTATGTGTTGAGTGAATTTAATCACCGGAACTGAATTTTCCGTCATGGTATACCAAAAACTTAAAGTTACAGTTCGATTTAAAAGATATTTTTTTCAAAGAGCACAAAAAAAAATCATCATAAGCTCAAAAAGGAGTACTAAAACAATCAAGAACTGGTTGAAGTGAGTGAATAGTGACCAATATTATTGTATAAAAAGTTTTTAAGTGTGGAAAAAGTTGCAGTGATACAAATGATTTGAGAAACAAGTTGATGAGTGAACAAAGAAAAAGAGATTACTTTCTTTGTTGTTTTTGGCGGGAAGTAGATCTTTCTACCATATAATTAGAACAATATAATTAGAGGTATAAAGCCAAAAATAGGGAAGAAAAGAGAGGAAGTATAAACAGAGAAGGCAGGGGTTTAACACTCCGCTCAAGATATATAGTGCATGGGACAATAATGTACAGCTCTGAAAGGCCACATATACCACGCAGACAAAACAGGTTGGGGCCCCAATTTGGATCCGATTCCACACTGGGACATATACAATGTGAAGCACAACAAAATTTAAAATTTGGATGTAATAAATATAACTTAAAGTATACTATATACATACATGCTTTTGTTTATTACCACGTCAAGCTTCCCTTGAAAATGTAGATAAACACCCTTTACCTTTAATCTCGAGGAAGTATACATGTTTGAGTCATTAAAAAAAAGTTAAAAATATGGAAGTTTCTAGAGAAGAGTAAAAAAAAGAAACAACCTTCCCTGTCAGTCAGTTAGAGTCTTAAGTCAAAATAGGTTATTCGAGAAATTTTAATAATTCAATCGGTTATCTATATGAATTTTCGTGTTTTTACTTTAACATGATATGTTCTATATTCTATAGACAACTTCAATATTTTTAAGAGAAAGTTCGCAACTAGTAGAGAAGTGTTGTGCAAGTGGACTAAAAATGCAGGCAAATGGGTATAGGATCTTCTAGTCCTAATTAGTTTGACACGTATTTAAAGAATGTTTTAAAAATAATTTAGTTTTAAAATTCTCATTTATGTTTATTGACATAATTCTCATTAAGTCTTATTTCAAACAGTACATTCTAAAAGTCTTTTTATTTTTAAGTTATGTGTCCATTGAATAGTGTTACATAAATTTAAAACGGAAGAAGTAAAAATATTAGTTTTATACTTGACTAAAAACAAGAGGATCTTCTTTACAGCTGGTGATTTTAGACATGTCAAACATCCCCAGCCCCACACCCGGCAGCCCCGACTTTCTTTTCTTTGTATTTATATACACAGCAGAAAGTCTCTGGTCTTGCATATTGCTTTTTACCTAACTTTGCACAATGTTCTCTTGATTTTGGAATACGAAATTTCAAGGAAGCCCCCATTGGTGCTCTACGACTCTCTGAGGTTTCTATAATGAGCCAAGGTCCTACCTCTTTAATAGTTGGAAAAAGCTACAGTGAACTATGAAAAAAGACTCGTCTATATTCATATCTATTATTATTAAATGAGAAAAGACTTACTAGTTAATTGCAAATAGTATTACATTTGCAAAAATATTTTATATACGTAATCAATTATGATTCAACCATGCCATTAGTTATATCATCTTTTCAAACGGGAAAAGGCTTAAAGGATTCATGTCAGTCCACAAAAGTATTAAAGAAATTAGGAGGAAACTATTGCGAAGTTGACGCACCTTGTCTTTAACTGCAAATCCATGAGAAAGCTATTCTCTTTAGATAACAACTTTTTACCTAGCATATAATACAAATGAGTGTTTCACACAACTGACACGAGTTAAACGAAGCATCAAATGTCTGTTATCAAGAAAGGCGATCCAAGATATATCGAAACGTTTAACTTGAATAAGAAGCAAAAAGAAAAAAGGGCTGATAGCATGGCACGTGAATCTAATCTATAGGCTGAAAAGACTTGTTTGCTTGTAAACCAAGTGATAATCATTTGCACATATAGTTTTCTTTATTAACCCACTCTTGCATAATCATCCTAACCCCTTCTAATTTCAACTCAATTATACTAACAGACAAATTTCACCTCAAAATAATGCAACTCTTAACATCTGGAGCTTCCTAATTGCACCACCATACTTTCGACCTTTCTTGATAGTGATCCATACACAAGCTAAACTTTTATACAGAACAAACTACTCTTCCAAAAATAACTACTATTGGTTTATTGACACACTGCTGACCTCTTCACGAAATTGAGGGGATGCGTTAAGAAAATTAGCACAATAACGATTCCCAAGGTTCAGATAATGACCTCAGTGTGCATTAGAGTCAGTCGCCCTGACGTCCTGCAGACTGTGGTTCCCACTTTTCTAGAATCATCTGCTCAATCCATCACATTAACTAGCCTCAGCCGAATCGTCAGCACCTCTTGCAGCTGTCCTAAAACGACATGACCAAAAGCCTTGAATCCAGAGTCACCGATATCTCCAGGCACATGAAGGAAATAGTCAAATTTTAAGGACCAAAACACAAGGGAGAACTTATCTCATGGAAGACGGCAGCGAGCCATGGTTAGCTAGCTACACGGATTTTCAAGAACCTGCTTTGCACACAACTAATAATATAACAGATCACAGGAAAATGGTCTCATAAAGAGAAAAAGTTGCTGTTTAATCACTGGAATTTTCGCCACTCAAAAGATAGCACCCATACAAGAAACGTCAGGAAGGAGTAAAAATAAAATTACATTTCAGGTTCTCCCCTCACTAAAATTCAACAAATAGATATTCACATATTGAAAGATCTCGGTCTTGACAACTTTGACATGATCGGAGTCTACTTAAACTGATTTCCTTACCAACATTTTGTTCTTTCATCCAAAGCACAATGAAGATATTGCATCTAGGAGTGAAAGCAAAATGAAGTAATTGAAATTGAAAGTGTCTTAGACACACCCGAGGACAATGCCGTTATCCCATCGCATATTTTTGAGTCCAGCTACGAGCAGTGGTCTCGTATTTGGCCCTGTCAGTCTTGTACATATGAGCAATTTCTGGTACAAGTGGGTCGTCTGGGTTTGGATCTGTCAATAAAGAGCAAATGGACAACAGGACCTAAAACATAAAATAGCAGTGTGAGACAAAATCCAAATGACAATTGAAAAATAAGACATATAAACCAGAGACACTCTTCCCTCGCCTTTTTTCCAGAAGATTTAGTTGTGACTTGGTACATAAACTGATTTTCATCACATTTTGGATAGTTAAATAGAAACATGCTAAGAAGAGGACATCAAGAAAAGCAACTAACATAAATTTTTATTGAAAAAAAAAGAACATAAAATAGAAGAATCGAATTAGTTGATTATATGAGAGTTGTAGGAAAACCATTTCTGGAGCAAAAAGAGCAATCTAAAGTGGCAGGTATTGCTCAAAAGATTTTACTGCAGTAACAGCTCAATATTACCACTAAATTATCTCTCATTTAAATAAAAATCTGAACACCCAAACCTCAACTCAGCAACTCAATACAACAAACGCGTACAACAAAAGTTAGAAAATAAATCATCTGCTTCAACATCAACTAGAGGGAAAAGGGAAGACAGAAAGAGACAAAATTGCCACAAGTAGTTCACCTAATTTCTACCAAAGATTTAGCAGAAGCAAGTCAGAAGGACTAGTCATTACATCAGACAATAATATAGTAAATACTTTTATAATAGGAGCCTAAATGTCAAAAGATATCACACTCGACTTTCTTTAATAAAGAAATGAACATGATACTTCCCCTCACTTTCCTTTCTTTTATTCTAAAAATGGAATCATACTTGCTAAGGTGCTGCTTGACATCTGACAGAACAAATATGTTATTTAAGGTAAGCATGTTTTGAAGGGCATAGATATTTGTTTATTAATAAATATCTTTTTGACTTCTGTTACTTTTTTCTGGACTACTTTTCCTTGCGTCGTAGGTCAAAACAACCTCTCTACCTCTGAGGTAGAAGTAAAGTCTGATTATACTGGGTATGTTGTCATATAGTTACTGTTTTTAGTTTAAACAAGTCATGATAATGTTTAGTTACTGTTCTTTCCTTTTCTACTCTATCCTTCCTTATGATTGGCATTACTGCTCGCATTCTCTCTTCAAATACAAACATGCTGGTCTAAATCATCCTATTTCCAGAGCACTATCACATTAGTAAAGCCATAGTATAACTTGCCAATCACAGTTCTCACATTCATTTATATTGACATAAGGCTTTTTTAACTAAGTATACTCCCAGGCCAGATTATTTGGCCTACTGAGCCATGATTCCAATGCCTCAAAGTCCTTAATTATGAAGAGAGAGGAGATCAAAACTCAACAAGTCTGGACAACAAAACATAACAAAAGTCTAGCATTCTCCACCAAATCAAATCATACACCACCACCATCATCATTATTTTGTTAAATCCAGACTCTGGCTTGGACTCACATTCATCAAGAAATCTAAGACCAGAAAAAAACATAGCAACATTTAATTGGGACACAAACAAAGACCAAGATACAAACCTTAGATATGGTCAAAGCCGGACTCCATTGCTCTTTAAGGATATCCAAACATATACTTCCATTGCTATTGATGTTAGGATGGAAAACCTTAGTTCTAAATGCCACCTGAAACAAAAAAACAATTAAAAGATCAGATTCAGACCCTTGACTCATCACCACAAAACCAGTCAAACTATTAATCGAACACGTTCTCAGAATTGACAGAGAGAACTCATTCTGCAAATTTCAAACAGTGCCTGAAACAAACAAAATTCCTAGAACCTACAGAACCACCATGAAGGTAAAACTAATCTAGCAGCAAACAAACGCCAGCCATCTTCTACATTATGTAGTCATCTTCTACATCATGTTATGTGGACACTGTGGTGTAAAAACTAGCATACTTATAAGCATGAACAGCACCCTGAAGTACCAGCTCACTCTAGCACCAGAACATAAGAGAGCAGAGACTAGATAAGCTTCTCAACAAAACACTTCAAATATCATCTCAAGTAGTGGGGAATGATCATAAGGAAGTTCCAGGCAGTTAGTAACTAGTATCCAAGGCTTCCTGAAATTTTCCAGAGGAATATGAAACTATCTATCAATTTTGAGTGTATTGTATTCCACCATGTAATTCCGTGGTCTTATCTATATGGTAAGAAAACCACACTGACAAACAAATGACAGGATTTTTAATGCTAGCGCTCTCTGTGACCCTGTGACCCTTCCTCACAGTGGCACATCACCAGCCTAGTCTTAGATTTCTTCTCGTTCGATTCTGTCTCATCAGCGCTGATGGAAGAATGTCAATGTGATCTTTACATTCTACTATAAATAAAAACAAGAGATGATGGCGAAGTAGGCAGTAATTTGAACTTTACTATCATTCAATTCTATATGGACACAACTAGACAGGTGGGGTGTCATTCATGAAAGTTCCAGCTGATTTCAAGAAATGAAGAAAATGATAAGGATGTTGTAGAGCATAGGCATACCTTTGGAGGCTTGAAAGGATAATCAGGGGGGAAATGGATTGAGACCAAAAATACACCTCCTGCATAAGGGCTATCTGTAGGCCCCATGATTGTTGCTTGCCAATGGAACATATCCTCAGCCACTGGACCTGTATTTTACAAAATATGCTAGTTAATGTCGACATAAAAGCCATGTGATTAAAAGACTCACTATAACAAATGTATAATCACACTCAGCACCTAAATCTAAGTGGAAAAACAGTTCCTCATCAGAAAAATGACAAAATATGCATTAGGAGAAGTACAACAAAGAATGATGCAGAAACTTGATAGACAATTATAAGTAACATTACAATCTTCAAGTGCCATATATTGAACGCTAAATCTCAGAAGTGAGAAAGAAAAACCAGTATAAGATGCAATACAACCTCGGTTGTGCACAACTTGGTTGGACACCAATATCATATAACAAATCTATAAGCAAAAACAAAATAAAAGAGAGCCGAATCTGCATTCAGCTGCTGTTAACACGTAACGGATCAACCTACTAATGATGCCAATAAGTTTTTTCCATAACATTAATGTCCAAGCTTTTAACAGACACTTTTAGTACACCAACTATACCAGCTACCTACAACTAGGACATGTATCTTATGACCTTTTCCACCAAAGCATAGGCAAATGGGAATGATTCACCTAGTTCACCTTTACTGAGATTTGAATCTTGGATGCTAACATACTTACTCCAACTCAGCTCTTGGACAACTAGGCTACCACCGGGGGCTAATGCCACTAATTTTTACAGAAACAAACATTTAAATCATGCAACTCTGCCAGTACAGAAAGCAAAAAATTGGTTCAGCAAACTACTAAATCAGACTTGTTCTAAACTAGCAACATTAGCAAAACAGAAACCGCAGAAAACATCAGAAATTCAACCACACTGACCTAATTATTGGACTACAGCTAACAAAACTAGCACATAAGCTCAGCAATCAGAAGTGTAAGGCAAAAATAAAAAGTACAGCCGATATACCAGCGCTGCATGAGGTGGGAGGATCCTTCTGCAAATCCTTAAGCTCCTTCAATATGCGCTTCGACGCCATAATTCAGTCCGTATACCTTCTAATCCAAGTCCTAAGCAATTATAATAACAATTTCTTCATCAAACTCCACAGATCTCCATATTCAAGTAAAGTAGAAAACAGTTACACACACAAATTAAGGTCACAGAATTACAAAACTGAAGCTTATAATAACTCAAACAGGAAAGGCTAAGAGATCTAATGGATTGTTCATGCGGAAAAATCTAGATCTTCTTCATTTTGCAGTTATATGCAGAAAAATACCTGAATTAAGAAGAGGAAGATGTGGAAGACAATTAATTGAATGGAAAATTGCAGAGCTTGGATTAGGTTTTGAGCCAATCCTATGTAAGAAATAGAAAACAATATTCACTCTGTTAGCATTTATACACACTCATTTTTAGTCCATTTCAACAAAAAAAAAAAGAAGAAAAAGAATGAGATATTTAAGTATTTACTTTTAAAATATCTACTCCATTTTATAGCTGAATAAATATTGATAACATTTATAAATCTCAAAATAAATGCAAAGAATCTGCAACTTTATGAGTAAATAAATATTATTTCTACATAACGTATACGAAATGCTATTCCTAACCATATTTTATAGTGGGGCCCAGAAGCAAGGCTCTAGAATCGTCTACTGAAGTCATAATGTGCGCATAGTTTGTGGAAAGACACAAAGTGACCACTTATTTGAATTTTAGCCAATGTTTATAGATTATTTAATGTTTAGCCATTAATTAAAAGCGTTGTTAAGTTCTGCGCTACAAACTTTATGATAGTGCTATGAAGTTCGATTTATAGTTTGAACTTTGAGAAGTATGGTGTCACGAAGTTCGAATTGTGTAGTTCAAATTCCATGTTTGTGATGTGAAGTTTAATTGTTGTGGTTCCAACTTTATGTCACGCGAACAATAAGAAGAACACCAATGCATACTATAATTTTTAGTGATAGAAATGTGTAACATATTCTATTTTTTACAAATAAAAACACATGGCAGTATAAATAAACGATATCACTATCCAATACTCACTAGAATTTATAAATTACTTGGTGTTTGAATGCCAGAAAAATCATTGCTTCGACATGTTGCATAAATGAGATGTTAATAAGTGCAGTGCAGATTGAATCTTACAACAAATGACTAGAGTTCTTAAACGAAAAGAAAAAGGAAGATGATTAACTTGTCTACTATACCTCCTAAGGAAAACAAATCCACACTTTCACTAGATACACTTGTCAATAGGATTGAATCAGAAAATTTAGGGAAAGAAAACATGTATGTTGTTGCACTGGGTAATCGAAATCGAATGAACTTCTCTGCACTTGCAAATTGTAAGTCAGAAATCCAAGGAATCAAGGGATATGCACATTTGAATCATAGGATCTATTCTCTTTCTGAAGAATGCCTGTTTTCGGAGTTAGATTGCCTGACGTCTTCAATCATTCTAACAACTTCCTCCATGTTGGGTCGCATGTCTGGGACCTTTACAACACATGCCATAGCAATTTGCAGCATTTGTACCATCTCTTCTTCAATGTTTTGAAATCTCATCAAATCGACGTCAAAAACCTCTGATGTCCATTCCTCCCTGACAACTGATTGGACCCACCTAGGAAGGTCAACCATGTCATCACGCCCCGGTGATTGCATTGGCTGCTTACCAGTAAGCATCTCGAGTAGTAACACACCGAAGCTGTAGACATCTGATTTATGACTATGCTTTCGGCTTTCTATCACCTCAGGAGCCCGGTACCCTGGATATCGGGATGGGGCTGCAGGGAAGTTCATTATAGGGGCTAAACCAAAATCTGAGATGCAAGCTTCCATATCTTGCTTGAGTAGGACGTTTGAGGACTTTATATTTCCATGAGTAAATTTTGGACCACCCATTGAATGGATGTGGGCGATCCCCTTAGCTGCTGCAAGAGATATTTTTACTCTCGACTCCCAGTCCAGCGGAGTTCTTCCCGGAGTCCTGTTCCCTAAATGATAGTGGGGATTTGATAGGGAATAGAGAAGAGAAATATCAGCAGTACGTAACATCATTGGCAGTATACTTGACATTGATAAGTTTATGCAGGTTAGTGAATGAGGATGAGTTCTATTCTGATGTAGTCTTCCAGGATAGATATTAGGTATATCATGCATGGAATTTTCAGCACTAGCAGCTTTCCAGTTAGAAAAACAGCAAGATTGTGCGAGTGATAGACTACCAATGATAGGTTAAAGAAAGCCAGCAAGTGTCAATATGTAGCTACAGAAACAATAGATACAGAATAACATAAGAGCTGTTTATACTCATATAATAGACCTAGAAAGATCAAACTGATGCAAATATTCTAAAGAAAGACTTTTTCTTCTCTAACTTTACAATAGCTACAAGAAAGAATGCTTCTTTTCACACCAGTTCACAAGTTTAAAAGTTCAAATTCACATTGTTTAGATTTGTTTAGGACATTACTTGAGTGCATTTTGTATTGTGAAGAAACTTACTATCAGGCATAATCACAAAGCGCGAATCAAGTTACTCCACCAAACACTACAAATAGAAAAAGGGAATGACGATGAGAGCATATGATGCCTTACCATGCAAGAGCATTGACAAGTTTCCCATTGAGAAATAACCATACACCAGTAGCTTCTCATCCTTGGAGTAATAATAAGCACGCAAAGGAACCACATTTGGATGCTGTCCAACTCTACCAATAATTTCCATCTGCTGTTCAAAGTCCTTCTTCCCCACAATGACTTCTTTAAGTCTTTTAACCACCACTGTTGATGACTCCTCCAAAATAGCCTTATAAGCAGTTCCAAAACTCCCCTTTCCTAGCACTTCAGCTGAGGCCCTCAATAGGTCCTCGAGATCGAAATTGTAAGAGCTACCTTCAAAGAAAACAAGCTTATTTTTGTCAGGTTCTTGCACCCCACTACCGAACTCTTCCCTCGGTTTTTCACTCCTTCCTCCGCCCGGAGATTTCCCTTTCCGCACACCTCTGCCATCACCCCTTTTTCTTCTCAGGCAGCACAAAACCAGGATCACAACTAGCAGCAAGACTAGCACAACCCCTCCAGCAGCAATAGCAAGAATAACTCCTAGTTTAAGTTTCTTTTTTGAACTTTTTTCTTGCGTGTTTGGGGAGGGTGCAGGTGGGGAAGGGGAAGGAGGGGATGGTGGTAGAACAGGTGAACAAGGATTTAAGGGTAGTCCACACAAGAGTGAGTTCCCCACAAATGAGGAATTTGGAAACTTTTGGAGGGATAATGGAATAGAACCATTGAGATTGTTGTGGCTTATATTAATATGTTTTAGCCTTGGAAGAGTAATATTGGGTATGGGTCCAGAAAGCAAGTTATTCTGGAGGCTTAAACCTGTTAGCTGGGACAGATTCTGAATTGTTTCAGGTATCTTTCCAGTGAAGAAATTATGAGATAGGTCCAAAATATTCAGTTTATTTGAAAGAGAAGAAGGAATAGGTCCAGATAAGTTATTTTGCTGTAAGAACAGGTATTGAAGAGAAGGAAGTGAAGTGATAGAGGAAGGAAGGTTTCCACTGAGACGATTGGATCGAAGGCTGATAATCCTTAAGCTATCCATCTTCTCAAAAGTATTTTTTGGAAGTGAACCAATGAGTCCAACTCCTGGAAGTCGTACTTCCGCCACATGGGCTTCATCATTACTACAAGTAACGCCTACCCAAGATGAGCAGATAGGAGTGGCGGGATCCCAGTTGATCTTCCAGCCATGTGGGACTGCTGCAGCAAAGTCAAGAAGGGCTTGTCTGTCTAAGTTTAGATCACCGCGGCACAGCGAAAGAAGAGTTGCTACAACAAAAAGAGAATGTAGCAGTTGATTGGTGCAGTACATTCTCATGAGGATACCTTCAATGGATTGAAAGCCACTATGCTGCCAGTATTGTGGTCGTCCTGGAATGAACATTTTGGGAACCAAACAAACACCAAAGATTAGAGAGGAAGGATAAAAAAAGACATTTTGACATAGCAAGCATCTATGCAGTCAAAGTTATACGAAAATCCTCAAGACATATGTCTGGAATCTGCACTAAATTTTCATGAACTAAAACTGTATGACTTTTTTATGGATTCCAATTAACAATTACTATGCGTCCATCTAATGTTTCTATTTGCACATATGTTCCAAAAGCACTTAGCAATGAACTAGTAATTGTTCTACATTTAACTAATTTTTCACCATCTGGAGAAGAAGACTAATAAAACTAAACATGTTCTCATAGAACCACAAAAAGAAGAATTAGAAAAAAAAAAACAGTCAGTCAAGTAACATTGTATGGTGAAAGCAAATATTATCCACCATACAACTTATAATTACTTCAAAAGCTATATAATCTCATAGATACTGATACCAAGAAATAAACAAAACAAAATGCAAAAGAGATGTTCGGAAAGCAAAACCAGAAAACTTGCCAAATCACTTTCTAAGCCAAAAATAAAGATGCTAAGAGATACCAAACCATGTCGAATATATTAAACAGCTCAAAACAGAAGTATAAGCATGATTAGAAAATAATATAGTTGAAGAAGAAACATTAAAGAAAAAACTTTGTATCCCAAATACTCCCTTTTCAGTTTCATGAACAAAGAGTCTTGAAGAAGAAGAGCAAGAGCTAATACATACAAATAAGCCTTTTGAGGATGGATAAACTTAACCTTGCCTCCTTTAGGTTCAAAAACAGAAAAACCATTCTGGTTGGCATTATGAGCCACCCTCAGTTTTGGTAAAAACTCCAACTGAAGAAGAAGCCTTCCGGGATGGAAACTCTTTTTTTTTTTTTTTTGGTGTTACGTGTGAGAAGAGGTGTTACACCTTATGCCACCCTCTTTTGTAATTATATTATTAATAAACAAGAGATGTTTTGAGAAAAAAAATACATACAAATAGCTAGCACTTAAGTACTCTAACGTGATAGTATCTAATAAGCAACTGGAAAAAAAATAACCACTCCTTCAAAGTCAACCCGGGACTGGACTAACCCATTTAATCACAAGTTTTTCAACCTTCATGACATGATAATGCTTATTCAAGGTTGGAGCTTGAAACAGTTCATGAAGAAGAACTACATCAAAAAAATCTACCAAATCATGAAATTTTTATTATTATTATTTTTGGGGGTTGGGGTTACCTATTACCACATTCACAATTCTTCTCTAAAGTAAATGTCAAAGAGAGTTGGGTTAATTAAGACTATTGAACAACCCCAACTCATATGAGGTCCCAGTAATAGGGAATCCTAAGCTTCCATCACACAAATATAATCCAATGATAGTTCATAAGGACCAACAACATATTCAATTTCTCAACTCTTTGTACTTCCACATTATCAAAGAAGCAGACACTGAAGACTGAACAACATACAGGTCTTGCTACTTAATAGTCCACGCCGGAGCCAGGGTTGCAGGCCGGAAAATCATACCATATATACAAGTTAAAAATAAATAAATTCATCATAGATTTCCTAATTAATTTCTAAAAATCAAATTTA